CAAACTAACATTATTATTCTTCAGATTTTCCCAAAGCCATGCATCTCCTTATTCCCTGACTACTGGAACCAGGGGTTTTAATTGTGGATCCAAGTAAGATGAAGTTGTCAACAATTTCAATCTCTTCTCCATCCATGATGATGTTGCCTATCAGTCTAGTGGTAAGAATCTTTGTTTTCTTGGCATTGAGATACAATCCTTACTGCATTCCTTGAATTTCTGCAGCAAATGTTTCAAGTCCTCCTGACTTTCAGCAAGCAAGGTTGTGTCATCTGCATAATGCAGGTTATTATATTCCTCCAATCATGATGCCTCTTCATAGAATCCAGCTTCACAAATAATTTGCTCAGCATACAACCATGACTCATTCCCTTCTTAATTTTTTTCCCCAGATAGTGCTTTCCCTTCTTAATTTTAAACCATGCTGTATGCCCCTGCTCCGTTTTACAATAGTCTCATGGTGTAGGTTTCACATGAATACAATTAAGTGCTCTTGGACTCCCATTTTTCTCAATGTTAGCCACAGCTTGTTATGATCCACACCGTCAGATGGCTTTGCATAATCAATAAAGCACAAATAGACATTCTTCTGGTATTTACTTTCAACCAGGATCCATCTCACATCAGCAGTGATATCACTGGTGCCACAGCATCTGTGTACTGTTCTCGCTGGTTTTAAAATGATCTTCAGCAGTATTTTGCTTGCATGTTATATTAATTATACTATTCAATAGTTTCTACATTCTATTGGAATTCACCTTTCTTGGGAATGGGAACATGGACCTCTTCTAATCCATAGGCCAGTCAGCCGTCCTCCAAATTTCCTGGCATAGACTGGTGAGTACATCCAGGGAGGCATCTGTTAATTGAAACATATCAGTTGGTATCCCATGGATTCCTGGGGCCTTATTTTTTTGCCAGTCCCTTCAGTGCATCCTCCTTCATTACCATTGGCTACTGTTCATATGGTGCTTCCTGAAATTTTTTGGTGTCAATCATTTCTTTCTGGTACAGTGATTCTGTGTATTCCCTCCATCTTCTTTTTATGCATTCCAGGTCTTTCAATATATTGCCCTTAGTATCTTTCAGTATTGCAACTTGCGGCTTAAATTTGTTTTTCAGTTTACTCAGCTTGAAAAGTAAGAGTGAATTCTTCCCTTTCTATACTCCAATTCCAGCTCTTTGCACATTCCACTATCTTGAACTGCCCTTTGAAATCTTCTGTTCAGCTTTTACTTAGGCATCTTTTCCTTTTGCTTTGGCTGCTTGATACTTCGGTGTAATCTTTTTTTCTTTTTTAATGGGAAAAACATTTTGGGGGTACAAAGAGGTGAGGGGTGGGGGCAGAAGGGTGAGGATGGGCAGGGATGAAAATTGCAGGGGTGCAGTTTCAGAGCTGTACAATTTGGTTGGAAGGGGGAGCAGGTGAAGGAAATGAAAAGGATCCAGTGGGGACCAGATGCTACAGGGGAAAGGTAATCATATTCCAATGGTGATTAAACCAACTGTCTTATTGATTTGGGATCTGGATGCAGACTCTCTGGCTTCTTCATGCTGAACAGGGGCGTAGATGTGAAAGGGGAAAGGGAGCACACTTTATCACCTTACTGGTGGTCTTGGGTTAAAGCTGCTTGCCTTCTTGTTCTGTGAGAAGATGTTTTCCTGACATTTGCTCCCCTCTGGTCTGCAAAATGTTTTTCCCAGGTGGGTCCAGTGGGGATGGCTGGTTGAACCCAGAGGCTCCATCCTCCTTTGCTTCCTTAGGTGGCAGTTGTATTTCCTTTTGTCACGGGCACTGGGTTCAGGATCAGGTGTGGAGTAAAACTCAGTGTTAGGGTTACCTATAGGAAAGGGAGCAAACCTAGAGAGAACAAACTTGTGAGTTACAAATAGAAGGTCTTTGGGGGTGTTATTTTCAGATTTACTGGGGAAGAGGGTGGCAGAATGTAGCCTAGATAAAATTCTCTAGATACCCTAGGCATTTTTCCCCCACCCAAGGGTCAGATGGCACAATCTGGAGACTGAGGAGCACCACGCCCTGAGCCAGGGGCTGAAGACAGCCTGCCCCGAGCAGAGGGCCAACGGCTCATCCTGAGCAGTGCAACACCCCCCAAGGGGCTGGCTGGTACACTCCCCCTCCAATTGCCCCCACCCCAGTCTGGACCCGTTGCCTGACCGAAGACTATGTGGCCAGGGACAGCGGTCCGTAATTCCTGCACCACCACTTTTATTCTCCCCTCCCCCCCAATAAATGATCATACTGTAATTTGAAGTAGGTGTCACTGCCCTCCCCCTTTATAAATGGCAAAAGGAACCTGAGAGTTGTGAACAGACTCCCCCCAGGTCTAAACAGCTTTTGGCAGAAGCATTCAACAGATCAAAATATGTGGTGCGTTTAGGATGTTGGTCCTCTTGGACACGCTGCCGCTGTTAAGTATCATCATGTAGACAACTCATAGTGACTTTCAACAATCCATTGTACCAGTGATCCTCTTTTCTGGCCTGTCCAAGGAAACCCAAACCTGTTGGTGGCCAGGGCCCTCGTCGGCCCGCGCTGGCGGCCCAGTTGCGTGTTGGTGTAATCTTTCTAGAGTCTCTTCTGACATCTATTTTTTTCTTTCTCCTCTGTTTTTGTAATGGCCTTTTGGGTTCTTTGATGGATAATATCCTTGATAGCATCCCACAACTCACCTGATTTTTGCTCATTAGTGTTCCATGGCTCAAACCTATTCCTAAAATGATCATGAAATTCAAATTAAATTGATTCAAGATAATGCCTTAGTTTCTGTGTACTTATTTTAATTTTCCTCACCTTCAATTTGAACTTGCATGTGAGTAATTGATCTTCTGACCCACACGGACAGTCTGTCCCTGGCCTAGTTTTTACTGTCAGTTTTGAGCTTCTCCAGTGATTTGTTCTACAAATGTAGTCAAGTCTGATTCTGATGCAGCCCATCTGGTAAGATCCATGTGTAAAATCACTATGTTTTTAAAAAAAGGTATTTGCAATGAATAAATTATTGTAAATACAAAATTCAGCATTCTATTTCCAGCGTCATTTCTATCACCAAGCCCATTATTTTCCAACTACTATCCTTTCTTCACTGACTCCCACTTTTGCATTCTAGTCACCACTTATCATTAACACAACTTGATTGCATGTTTAGTCAATTTTAGACTGAAAGATTTTGTAAAAATTCCAAATTTCTTTTTCTTTGGTTCAAGATGGAGAAATGCATATTTGAATATTATTCATATTAATGGGTCTTCCTTGTATGTGTATGGATATTGTCACTCACAACATTGTTTTTCAGGATAGAACTTGAAATTTACTTTTTTATTATGAATGCATCACCATACCATATGTTTAATTTTGAATGGCCAACATTTGTCCATCTCTTCTCACTAATGCCTAGTATGTGGATGTTCATGCATTCCATTTCCTTTTAAACAATTTCCAGTTTTCCAACATTTCCATGTTCCAATTATTAAAACGATGTTTGTTATTGTTTTTCCTAATTTCAGCTGACTTCCAATCTGGGTTCTACCACTGCACCACTATAACTATCTTCGTTCCTCAAATGTTCATAGGGTTTAAGAAGTGGATAGCCAATCCTGTTTCCTGTTCTGTTTTAATCTGCGAGCTCTACCAAAACCTAACCCCATAGGTAACCATTATAGGTGTTTGACAGTCCAGTGACATAGCTTTCAGTATCACAGCAACCCCAAGTTATCTCAGTACAGCAAACTGACAGACAAGTGCTGTACCACTTAGAACAATGTTCTCCCCAAACACATTTAACACCAACCAACTTTTAAATATAAAAGGCCTGCTTACCAAGTCCTAATTGTTTTGACCAAGAGGCTTCCTGCCCACAACTGATTATTATTCAAAATGAACTACCAGTTTACACTCAACTTTGAATTAAATCAAAACAACCTATCTTCCAGAATCCAAGAGCTTTACACAGGAGGCTCAGAACTGGAGACTTAAGATAGGACCCAACTGACTTTTAAACACAAAGACCCGCCCACCAGGTCCAGATTGGTGTAAATAAGAGGCTTCCAGCCAACAGCTATTAACCAGATTTGCTTGTCAGTTTCAAAGTGTATATCCTTCCAAGTTCATCAAATTATTTTAATATTCCACTGCTAACTTTTTTCCTCACTGGTTGTGTGTGTGCACGCGTGTGTGTGTGTCTGGGTGTCTGGAACTCCTAGAAGAAAAGGAACTGGTAGTTAGGATGGCAGTCTCTAATGTTAAAATGAGAAAGGTTTTATCCCAAGGTACCAATAAGCACTCATTCCATTCCTTGAGTTTTTTATCTCTTTTATGTCTTAACGGAAATTTGTTGATCTCTTCTTGGGTACTTCTCATTCTTCTGTTTTCTGTATACTTTTGAGGCTTTTTAAAATTTATTTCTTTTTAGTGAGATACTGGAAGGAAAGACAAAATGCATATCCTAAATCTTTGACCTAGACCATTTTTTGTATTTTTACATATTTTCTCTCATATTTTGTCTTTTCTAATTAAAAAGCTATCGATTTTACTATTATCAAAAAACACATTTGTATTATCTGATTAATAATTTTTGTTGGTCTTTTGTGACATTTTTGTTTCTAGTTACTATCAGTTTGTAGCTAATAGTTCAAAAATTAATAGTAAAAATCAAAGTATGGGTTGATAAACTTATTAAGATGACTGTGATTAAGTTGAGCAAATCCAGGAAATTATGTTTTAAGGCCATCTTAAACAAAAAGAACTAAGTTGGTCCTTGGTCACAAGAAATAAATGTGTGGGCCAAAGACAGGACAGAAGATCAGGTAAAATGGTAAGACAATAAAGTTAGTTAATTTCAAATGCCCAAGTCCCCAGAGACTTGCTGTAAAAGCCTTAGTTACAATAAAACACACTTCATTACATTTATCAGAGTTGGGAACCAGAAATTGATAGAAAAGTTTGATTCAGTAAATTTGTTGTATGTGTTATGTTGTTACAGCTTCTGAAAATTTTCCAGTACACTAACTTTGAGAAAAATAGAAATTACATCTTATCAACTCAAGATCGTCTCGTAGGAGGATTTGCTAAGTGGCCAGATAGTCACCCAGGTAATTAATTTTTTTTATGAATATAGAAATAATTGTTAAATATAATTTACTCTGTTTTCTATGCATAATAGTATTTTGCTATGAATCCAGAGGGGAAAAATTTCTTTTTCAAGAGCATTGTCAAACATCATTTTTATAAAGGTATATGATTGAAAATTTGGGCACAAGTATATGTTTACAAGTATAAATAAAATACAAAAAGAAAATTGATAGATTACTTAAGTTTGTAATAACTTCAGGGTATATGATAGAAGGAACTGTTTGTCAAGATGTATTGGTACAGTGTGCATTTTTTTGCCTGATTATTTCACTTAGCAATGTTTTATTTCATTTGAGACAGTAAGGCAGATGGTCAGAGTGGGTTCTATCCAAAATAGAATCATTTTGCTCATCCAAAATCATTAGGATTATGAGATATGACTTGAAATAAGCAGAACATATTATTCTCAATCCACGAGGGAATCTATTCTCATTCTATTCTGAAATACCATCAAATACAAAATTTCAAATCCTGAATGCGAGTGGCCCTCACTGGCTAAAGCCGTTCTCTGAACTCAGAATCAAATGGCATTGTGGTATTCCATGCTTTGAAAGCTCAGGAATAGCATAGATGTGAAGAGCAAAGGATTCTTGTTTTATATAAGTATTCTTACTTAGGTTCTCCAGAAAGAAAGAAAATGGCATTTTAAAAAAAGAAAGAAAGAAATGTGTGTACACACACCTAAACACACGTGCGCGCGTGCGCACAAATGTCTGTATTTATAACTACATATTTAGATTGTTCTGTTTCCCAAACCTGAGCAGACTTCAGGCTTAGGTTGTCTATTTTAAAATGTCATGCTGAACATCTACATGGATGCTATCAATAATAGCACCTCAGACCCAGCCTGTCTGCTGAAATTTTTTTTCTAAATATTTTACTTTAAACACAACATTTGAACATAATTTAGCCAAGTTCTTGGCCAGTTTAAAATGAAGATTGCCTTTTCTCTTGTGTTCAAAAACATGTTTATCATTTCTTTTGATTGAATTACCATTATGCTTCCCTGTCCCCAACCTTGGGTACTGTTCATGTTTAGGCCAAGGATTCTTTTTTTTCAAATGAGGTCCATATTTATTCCCATTCAAAAAAAAAAATAATCCAACGGAGTATGGAAATTATCAAACAATATCACTGGTATCGCACGCAAGCAAAATCCTTCTGAATTTCATTCAAAAACAACTGGAATAGTACATTAACAGAGAACAACCAGAAATACAAGCTGGATTTAGAGGAGGCCATTTCACTAAAGAGGTTATCTAGGCCAAGGATTCTAAAGCATCCTTATCGTTAGTCATCTTGCTTGGCGCCTACCCACTGCTGTCAAGTCTATTGCGTTGCTTTTAATTTTTCTTTAGTTAGGGCTTGAGTGAAATTCTACAGCACATTCAGTTGTTTTGTTCTATAGTAATTTCAACACCAATAATGTATTCGTATTCTACTTCTTCCCTGTAATTCTGATTACCATTAATCCTTCTGTAGTTCATTTTTCTAAAGTGATGTGGTACTGATCATCCCATAATTGCCTTTTCTTTCATCCATCTTCATATGTGCCTATTATCTTTTTATTCTCTTCTCCCTCCTTTCCTTAGCTTTTTATGACAAAGATTGTGAACAATGTTTTGCCTTTTAGTACTGATCTGTTTCACTTAGTATAATGTCCTCTAGATGTAGCCAATGTTTCATGAATTCTTTGTTGTTTTTGAATGTTGCAAAGTACTCCGTGACAAAAGAATAATTGATATATTTGAGCTGTGATTTTGGACTAGAGAACTGAATGGACAACCAGAAGGACAAACAGATATGTCTTGAGAATGTACAGCCAGGATGTTCCTTGGAGGCACAGATAACAAAACTTTGTCTCACATACTTTGGACATGTTACTAGGAAGGCTAGTCCTTGGAGAGGGTCGCTGTGTGTGGTACATGACTCAGCAGCACCTAACAACAATACACCATTCTGTGAATATACCGTAATTTCTTTTTCCATTGTGTGTTGATGGACACTTGGGTTATTTCCACATCTTTGCTACTGTAAATAAAGCAGTGATGAAAATTGTTGTTCTTGTTAGGTTCCAACAAGTGCACCTGTCTTCAAACTGACATCATTGCTCTTCAGTAATGAAGACTGTAGTCTTTGATCTCCCATATCAACCACTTCAGGTGGTCCTCATTTTCAGCAAGCAAGGTTATGTCACACATAATTCAGGTTGTTATTGAGTCTTCCTCTGATCTTGATACCCCTTTCTTTTTCATAGAGTTCACCTTCTCAAATAATTTGCTCAGCAAACAGATTGAGTAGGTATGATGAATGGAAACAACTCTTAACACACACCTTTCTTAATTTTCTTTATTTTCCAACCATGCTGTTCAGATAGTAGCTTCTTAGTCTAGGTATAGGTTTCATATGAGCATAATTAAGTGTTCTGGAATTCCCATTCTTCTCTTTGTTGGCCATTATTTATTATGTTCTACACAATCAACTGCCAATGTATAATCATTAAGCACAATTAGACATTCTTCTTGTAGTCTCTGCTTTCAGCCAGCCACCATCTGACATCGACATTGATATCTGGTCCCCTGCCTCAGCTAAACTCACCTTGAACTTCTGGCAGTTCTCTATCAATGTACTTACTGTTCTAGCATTTTGGAATGATTTCAGCAATATTTTCTGGCATGTGATATTAATGATACTGTTTTATAATTTCCGTATTGTGTTGGATCATCTTTGTTGGGAAAGGGAACAAATACTCATCTCTTAAAATCATTCAGCCAGGCAGCTATCCTCGATATTTCCTAAGAAAGACTGTAGTCAGCATGTCCAGATGTTTTCTGAACATGCTGCTTGTATCTCATCAGTTCCCAAGGCCTTATTTTTTGTCAGTGCCTTCTATGCAGCTTGAACTTCTTCCTTCATACCATTGATAATATTATTGTTTTTATGTGCCATTGATTCAAGTACAACCATGCAACCCTCTGAGCAGTTACTCTGAACCCTGCCCTATCCTGAGCCACTCTCACTGTCTCCAATACACTTGTCCCTAATACTACAATCATTGTATCAATCCATCTCATCTAGGGTACATCCTGAAATATTTCAGTATCAACCAGGTCCTTTTGATACAGTGATTCTTTGTATTACCTCTATCTTTTGCTTGTTTATCATTTGTTCTTATTAGTACAGCACTTGTTTGTCAGTTTGCAGTACTGGGGTAACTTGTAGATGGCAGTGATGCTTGAAGTTAAGCTACTGTGTGTCAAATGTCAGAAAGGTTATCCTTACTGGACTGGTTTAGTTAGAGATCCAAATTAAGACAGACTAGGAAGCAGGATTGGCCATCTACTTCTGAAATATCAGGCCTCTGAAAACCCTATGAACAATAGAAGAACATAGGTAGCTATAGTTTTAGAATTAGAGCTTAGATGAGAAGTCAGTAAAGATGAGGAGAAATAGCTGCAAATATCTTTTAATAAGTACATCATAGAATACAGTGGACAGAAAGCGATGCTACCAAGCCCAAGGTGGGTGACTTTTAATCCATGGCCCTCATGCCTGTCTTTCATTGTTTCTGTTCAGATATTCTTCTAGTTCATATAGCCCTGGTGTACAAGTTGTCGTACTGCGGTCACTTGTGGTTGCTGTGAGGCTGAGCACTGTGACACTGATGTGTCAAATGCGTTCATTTTTGGCTACCCA